ATGTGGATACGATATCTTGAGTACTGAGTGGGCGCCTGTCGCCAATTTGCTGTTTCGCTGTTTGCATACATGACAAGTTGAATAATCGTAGTGTGATTTCAATGGAGGATGTAACCAACTGGCGCATGGCAACTGTCTGGCGCCCACCAACCTTTGCCAAATTTGACGAACTCAGGCCATATTGAAATTAAGGGGGCCCGCCTTGACTTAGGGCGGGCTCATGCTTTCTGAAAGGGCCCTACAGGGGCATGCCAAGGAGCCAACTCGTAACAAGGCCTTGTCGAAGATCCATGCCCACATGGGGTTTACAACAGGCTCTGCTTGGGCCCCTCAGCCTGGTCTCATAGCCCTATAAACAGGCATTGGCACATGTTTGCAGGCCCGCCTTCACTTAGGGCGGGCACGACACTTTCAGACACTGTTGAGGAACTAAATCCTCGCATTTTGATGAATGGTCGCAGGCAGTGAACTTTTGGACCATTGTCTGAACTCGGATTGACACCTGATTCCCGACATATTCATTTATTGCATGATTTTTAATAATTAAATTAATAAATTTATAAGTTTTTGAAAAATGTTGTCCGGGGGAATTTTTTTCCTATTGAATAGAGTGTCAGCCCTCATTGGGGATTAGGGAGCTGCATGCTTGACTGTTCCCTATCCCCTGTTCCCACTCCTTGTTCTCCTCTCCCGCGGATGGCCTGAAGGATACTGCCGATAGCAGTCACTGCAGTTTCTGTGCAGCAGCTCATGTCAGCAGGTCAGCGACCTGTGGTACTTCCTCGACGCAGTCCTCGGATAGCAGCTCTTCTCAGCAGACAACAACAGGCGGCAGCACGCATCACGACACCGACGATACCAAGGAGGCGGCGAACGATGGTCCTGCCAGCGTTTCCGGTCCAAGGCGCCAATGAGGCGTCCGACGTGTTCTTGCAGCGCGTTCAGGCCTTCATGGACCTGCCCGCTGCTGAACAGGAGCCGATGCCGCTGCAGCCGCTGAACAGCAGAGACTGGCTGAAAAGGCAGCAGCTGAGCATCAGAGGCTGGCCGACGAGGCTGCCGCCGAGGCACAACATTTGGCCAACGAGGCAGCCGTCCAGGTGCAGCTACAGCGAGAGGCCGCCGAAGCAGCGCAACAGCAACAGCGTGCTGCAAGCACACAGGTCCAACGAGGCTGCCGCCGAGGCACAACGTTTGGCCAACGAGGCAGCCATCCAGGTGCAGCTACAGCGAGAGGCCGCCGAATCAGCGCAACAGCAACAGCGTGCCGCAAGCACACAGGTCCTGCAGAATGAAGAGCAGCGTTTCAGCGAACTCCTCGCGACGTGACTTTCGTGCCATCTGCCGCAAGAGCAGCGCCAACAGCGGCGGAAAAGGAGAAAACAGAATTGGCTTCCCTACTCAGACACTCGTTACACACTGTGAACTGGCACCAGGAACAGTTGAGGCGACACGTTCAGGCAACATACCAGCAGCAGCAGCTCCTAAGCGTTACCTTGAATGACCACAAGACACTCGCGATAGCGATCAATTCTGCCAAGACACAGCAAAAGCAAGTCAACGACTCACTTACTTTGCGCCTGAGTACGGTTGAAGCGCAGGCCCGTGCACCGGCAGCTGCACCGATCGGTTCATCAGTGGCTGGCCAGCAATGGGGCCCGAGTGTAGCAGCAATTGAAAGTACAGCCGCCACCACCACTCAGCGCATTGATCACATCATCAGCTTGATTGGCGAGGTGGGCCAGTTCGAGGCCCCAACGACGCTCAGCAACCAAGTGACGGCACTCGAAACCGAGCTGTGTCAGCTGAAGTCAAGACTGGACAGCGGCAAGGCGTACAAGATGCCCAAGTTCAACTTAGTCAAATTTGACGATTATTACAAGACCAACGCATTGGCTTGGTGGACCGCATTCAATACGGAGGAGGACGTGGATCAAGTTCCCGACGATCTGTGCCTCAACGCGTTGTACCTCCAGCTGATTGTCGGCAGCCAGGCCTTCATGAACAATTTGGCATTGCAAAAAGCCTGTACGATTGCAACACTGCACACCAAGATTACATGGGCAGAATTTGAGCAGCTGTGGCAGACGCAGTTGATGGTCCAAAATGTGAAGAAGACGGTCATGAACGAGCTCTACCATTGCAGCCAAGGAATTATGCCTACCCGAGAAAGGTTGATGAAGTGGCAGAAGTTTGTTGCCACCCCAAAATGCAACCTCGATCTCGAGTATTTGAGATCTGAGTTCTTCTCTCGGTCATGCGATGGGTTGGCCATGGCTCTCGGCAATGAGTTGCAGTACGAGACCTTCGACGTAGTCATATCACGAGCGAACATTCTCATACAAACGGACCGGCGAGCGGCCAATGAAAGTCGCCAGCAGTAGCCGGCCTATGTGGCAAAGCCAGGATATCAGCGGCACAATACCAATGTGATCCTAACCGGATCACAAGAAGACCACACCGTTGCAGCAGCGTGTGGTGAAGGAGATGTAGCAGCGATCCCTCCTCGACGCACACGAGCTCGGAGAAGGCGGCGAATACCAGACGTCGGAAGGAGCTAGACAGCAGTCGTGGACGCAGTATCACATTAGCGACGAGTTTTACCACCACCGCCTTAAGTACAACTACTGTCTTTGGTGCAACAGCATCAAGCACGCGACCGACCAATGTATGGATAAGGGCAAAGCTAGTGTGCCTCGTCCACTCAGCTCGGGAAACTGAGTACCGCAAGGAGTGCTCCGACGACTCTCCCCACTCCGTCGAAAACGGTTGCCTTACTAGCAACCGACTTCATCTTCGGGGAACATGCGGTAGTCGATGATTCTCATTTGACGTACGAGGATTATGCAGTCCACCTGGTCTCAACGTTGAGCCAGCCTAGTCACGTGCATGAAGACAACGTATGCGCAACTTCCACACCGTCAACAAGTGAGACGGTCTTTTCGCCTACACACTTCGAAGAATCGTCGGCGTGGTCGAGACTTGCGGATCTCGACCCGCTAACAATAGAGGACTTCCAATGGTTGCTTCTTCCCTCGATCGGATCCTTGCCCAAGCCGCGTTCCAATGCCTTAATGGCCAACCTACGCGCGTACTTGCACGCTGCAGTACCAGCTCTGTTGGCGGACGACAGAGTAGCGGTTGTTGATATTCGCACCTACCTTGCGAAGATCGACCACGAGCACGCCTCCCAAAGGTACGTCGAAACCGATGCACCCCCCCTCTATATCCACATCCAAATCGGAAAGGCAACCTGCAATACCTTGATTAATTGCGGAGTGTCTCGGAACTATATGAGCCAAGCTTTTAGGGCCTGCGCTGGCCTCGACCCTCGCATTCGAAGGAAAACACAGCCAACACATGTAACACTCGCGAACGGACATGCGCAAAAGTCGATTGACCGATGCGTTGACGAGGTCTCGGTTTGCTTTGCGCCAATTGTGTACGAGCCGGTGTCTTTTGACATCCTCGATACCAAGTTCGGCATGATTTTAGGCATGTCTTGGTTGTGTAGCGGTGACCACCCGATGAACTTTCATCACCACACCGTTCACGTCCGTGATCGGAACGGTGAGCTAGTCCCGTGTACGGTCCGACCTCCTCACACTTCGATTGGTTGCCACGTGGTCTCCGCAGCAAGGATTCACGATGCTATTACTCGGAACGACGTCGAAGAGATGGGAATATGCTTCTTGCATGCGATCACTCCAAGGGACGGACCGAAGACGTCGCCGTCGGACCCACGTATTCTTCACTTCTTAGACGGTTATGGAGACGTCTTTGCAGTTCTCGTCGGAACGGTCCAGGATCGGCCTATACGTCACGGGATTACTCTGTAGGATGGTGTCGTCCCTCCGCACTGATGTATTTATCGGACGAGCGAAGAGGAACTCGAGGTGCTTCACACACAACTTGATGACCTCTTGGACAAGGCTGGATTCGCCCGAGTTATTCACCATACGGTGCGCTAGTTCTCTTCGTCTGGAAGAAGAACAAGGACCTTCGATTGTGTATAGACTATCGAAAACTTAACGCGCAAACCGTGAAGAACACCGGCCCTCGGCCTCGGATTGATGATCTCCTTGAGAGATTGGGTGGCGCCACGTACTTCTCAAAGTTGGACTTAAAGTCAGGCTACCACCAGATTGAAATCCAGCCTCAAGATCGGTACAAGACCGCCTTCAAAACGCGGTATGGGCATTTTGAGTGGGCCGTGATGCCATTCAGCCTCACAAATGCCCCGGCGACCTTCCAAGCAGCTATTTCGAGATCTACTCTACCGCTCCGTGCTCATTTACCTTGATGACATCTTGGTTTGTAGTCGGACGTTCAACGAGCATCTCGAAGACCTTCACGCTGTTGTTCTAGAAAGGCTTCACACGACCAAGTTCAAAGTAAATTGCAATAAGTGCGAGCTTGAGTACTTGGGCCACTATGTTACGCGGCAAGGCATTCGCCTCTTAGCGGACAAGATCCAAGCCATCGTGAACTGGTCGGAACCCCGTACCACTACAGATGTACGCTTGTTCATGGGTCTGGCTGGATATTACCAGCGTTTCATCGACTCTTACTCCAAAGTTGCTGCACCATTGTCGAGGCTTCAATCTTCGATGGTGCCTTTCGAGTTCGACGACGCAGCCCGGACTGCATTCCAGGCGTTGAAGGACGTGATGCTACGCGCTTCCGCCGTCCACATTTATGATCCCACCCTACGTACCCAAGTGACTACTGATGCAACCGGATACGACATTGGTGCGATATTGGAACAACATGACGGCGATGATTGGCATCCAGCTGAGTACTTCCCCCAAAAAGTGTCTCTAGTCCATTCTTTGGATGACGCTAGGAAGAGAGAGTTGCTGGCCTTCGTCACCGTTCTCAAACGATGGCGACACTTTCTTCTCGAGCGTTGGCGTTTCACATGGAATACAGATAACAATTTGTTGACCTACTATAAAACGCAGGACAGTGACAAGCACGATTGGCCGATGGATGTATTACGTTGACCAATTCGACTTTGACCCGGTCCATATTCCAGGCTCTGCCAATTGAGCAGCAGATGCACTATCACGGCGACACGATTTGTGTGCCTTGGTGCCGGATACTTTTCAGCTCGACGATGATTTGCAGCAACACTTCGTCAATGGTTACAAGTCCGACCCGAAGTACTGAACACTTTACACAGATCTTTCATAGGATCACCTGTCGACAGGTCATTATCGCATCTCCGATGGGTATTTGCTTCTCCACACGCGAGGGACGGACTTGGTATGTGTGCCACGCAATCGCGTTTTGCGTTTTCGCCTTTTGGGCGAATTCCACGACTCGCGACTCTCGGCACACCTTAGCGTCACCCGTACTTTGGCACGTCTTCACCAGCGTTTTCACTGGGAAGATGTCCTTCACGACGTCAATAAATGTGTGCAGTCATGTGCGGTTTGCCAGCGCATCAAAGGACAACATCAACTTCCTTACGGCGAACTCAAACCGTTGTCGATTCCTCAAGAACCGTGCCTCTCCATTGCTATGGATGTTACAAGCCCGTTTCCCCGCGATCGCCTTGGTCATGACGGCATCCTCACGGTCGTTGACCATTTGAGCAAGTACGCCAGATTTCTTCCTTGCAAGTATCATGCTACAGCACCCGAGCTCGCACGACTTTTGCACACCGGCTGGATTTGCAGCCATGGTGTTCCGGAAGCCATCGTGAGCGACCGCGAAAGATTGGGTTGACCGCCTTCCGGATATCGAGTTTGCCTACAATACTTGGTGCACCCTGCGATCTGCGTGACCCCGTATGAGTTGCATCATGGTGGACAGAAAGGTCGTATCTTCACCGATCTTCTTCTCCCTCGGGACGTCGACATAGACGTCGCTTGCTCTCCTTCTTCCATTCGGAAGTACAGGGACTTGCCGATCAAAGCCCGGACAAACACGCAAAAGGCTCAAGTCCGCATGCAACAGCAAGCTAATCGACGTCATCTCCCATGTCCTTTCCGAGAGGGTGACCTTGTCTGGGTCCTCGTTGAGGAATTCGCACTTGAGCAGGATGTCTCTCACAAACTCCTCCCCAAATGGTTCGGACCATGGAAGGTAATTTCTGCAGTCGGCGACAACCTTGCGGGCCCTTCCTTTGTGATCAACATTCCCCCGCACCTCACCGTGCACCCGGTCTTTCATGCATCGAAGTTGGTTGTTTACACACCACCCACACCACCTTCGGCCGACGAGTTTCCAGGCAGGTGATCCCAGGATCCGCCCTCCATGGACGAACATCAGGAAGTTGACCATGTCATCACGCACCACAAACATGGCAACAAGCCAATGCAGTACCAAGTCACATTCAAGCAATGTGATGTCGACGACACTCGCTGGATCTCCCGAGCAGATTTACAGGCATCTGCACCACTCATCTTCTCTGACTATGAAAGACGGCGGCTTTCCAAGGACGAAATTCGTCCCTCCCGACCCGCCCAGGTGTCGGATAGACAACTTCGCCCTTGCAGGTAGCTCGGTCTTTTAAGGGGGGGGAGTGTGTCACATACTGGATTCCACATGGGCCCTGTTAGGCCCGACGGCTAGGTCTAGGGGGTTATCCCAGACCGTGGCCACGCTGGGCCAGTCCGGCCTGGGTTAAACGCCGGACCTTTGGAAAGGCCGACGGTGGACCCGGGTCTGCAACTGCAGGCCCTGAGTGGGAAACCGGCTTAAACGTTTTTCGTTTGAGCCTGGTGGCCGAAGGTTGAGGCTGCCACTTCCCCGCCGTCCGATCTGAACCGTCAGATTGATCTAGTCCAGATCACGGCTTGGGTTCTCAGCAGCCAGGCTGAACAGGCCACCGCCGGTACCTAGTACCAGCCTGCGGTCTGTTCGGGACATTTTGGAGGCCACGGCATCGAGGAGCAGCAGCCTGTGCTATTTTGGGTTTAGCGCAGCTCCAGGCAGAGCGCTAGGTGTAGCGCTAGCTGCAGAGGCGAGAGAGAGAGAGTAGAGATTTACCTGCTACCTACCTGTGGGCGCCATAGCTCCAACATCGAGGGTGAGTCTTCAGCAGCTCCAAGGCGGCACCTTGCATCAGCAGGTTGGTGCCTGGACCCTGGATCAGGGAGCGAGGATTCTCCTCCTCCCACCTCTATCTCCACCTTCTCCTCTGCCCCTCTCGGTTCTTCTTCTTCTCTTCTTCTTCTTCTTCTTCTTCTTCGTCTTCTTCATCATCTTCTTCGAACCTTCTACATTCTGGACTACTATTTGGACAGAGATGAGAGGTGGATTATCGGTGACATAGGGGCTGAGACTATTTCGGATTGAGACATTGAGGGGACTATACTGGAAATCTGACATCAGTGACATTACAAGATTCTGTATCTTCCATTTCGAGACTTCGTATCTTTGACATTTCGGGATTTCTATTTCGGTGATATTGGTGTTGGCGCCAGTCTTCCGCTGCATTATATCGCTCTTTGTTATTGGTCGGTTCTGGGTTCTGCATCATACTTGTGTTCGCTTCACTAGTATGCAGCAGCAGAGGTCAATTCCACTGTGCTGGTGGGAATCATAAAGTTTTCAGAACAACAAAATCATCGGCGTACCTTACTTTCGATGTATTGTTCGGCATGAGTGCTTCCCTATAAGCATGCTGCCTTGGTGATGCATACATAGGCAGAGAGATCAGGAGGTTGCTCACCACTACATAGTGGATTTAAATCACCAGTGCGGCTGAGCCTATTTGATCGAGCAAAAAATGTGTCCACGCATATGTACTGGAACGGCTGCACTGCTTGGTTGGTGGACTGGAAGCACAACCTCCATTTGCAAGGCCGGAATGTTCTGTCAGGCGTTCGTGCACTGGTTGCTTAACAAGTCCTGTCGATGTCCTTGGATGTTATGTTATTATATATGATGGGCAGAAACTGGATCCTGAGGGACTTGGAACTGGGTCATGTGACAATGAGAGGCTAAGCTAGTTGGCATTCTTTGGAATTGATGGTTAATGAGACGGATTTGGAAGGGTGTACTGAACTGTTTTAACTTTCTGTTCCCTTGCTGCTGTGCGACTGCTTCTATCGCAGGCAATCTTGGAAACATCTATGCATTTTACAAGGGCTTCAAGATGTGCAAAGACTTGGGTTTGATTCCACGCATCCCAAGAATGGTGAGGGATCTCAGTTCTTGCTCATGATGTTGTGGTGTGGGGATCGTTTTGGAGGTCGTTTTGCGGGTAACTTTGGTGGTCATTCTGGGCTTTGGTCTTTTTGAGTCATTTTGGGATTATTTGGGGGTCGTTTTGGAGTCATTTGGGGGTCATTTGGGGGTCGTCTTGGGGCTTTTGTAGACAAGTTTGCAGTCCTTTTGGGGGGATTTTTGGGGTCATTTTGGGGCCTTTCCGAGGAATCATTTGGGTGCCTTTTGTGGGGTCGTTTGGCCTGCAGGCATGGGGGCGTTCCAGACAACGTAGAGTGATGATGTTGGGGGGCGGTTTGCAGTTCTCTAGGGGGTAATTTTGGGGCCCTTGTTAGGGGTCTTTGGGGCAGTTTGCAGTCCTTCTGGGGGGCCTTTTGGGGTCATTTTGGGGCCTTTCCGAGGAATCATTTGGGTTCCTTTTGTGGGGTCGTTTGGCCTGCATGCATGGGGGCATTCCAGACAACGTAGAGTGATGATTTTGGGGGGTGGTTTGCAGTTCTTTAGGGGGTAATTTTGGGGCCCTTGTTAGGGGTCATTTGGGGACCCTTTTGTGAGGTCTTTTGGCATATGCATAGCTGTGGACAAGCTATTCAGCCAGGAATGGTCATTTTTTCAAGACTTGGTGCCCGTTTCTGGCTATCTTCCGATGTCATATCTCCTCTTCCTCTTTCCCTTTCCATGGACTAGCCCTGTATGCAATACCTGTGCAGTTAGATGGACGACACTGAGGTCTGTAGCATGGTCACTCACGTTCATTCCTGTGTGTGATCTGATTTCATCCATGTCTTCTGGAGTCTGCATGGTCTGGGGTTGTCCTCATTACCATTTCCTTGGTGAACTCGGTTTGTGGATTACAGGTATGTGCACAGGCAGCAAATGCAAACCCTCTCTATCGCGCGTACGTGAACGGCTTTGAGAACTTCGAAGCTGTGAAGGCGGCACCGACATTTGCATCAGCAATTCAGATCGGCGATCCAGTGTCGATTGATCGGGCAATCTTGGCCTTACAGGCATGTGCCGCATCTCTCCACTGCATCTTCCATCTCCGCAGTCTCCCCTGCTTCTATCATCTTGGCCATTTTGACTGATTGGAGACTTGGGTGTGCATCATGGGTCTATCCACTCAGGGCCGATAAAGCAATCTTGAGATTCTAGAACTTGATAACTTGATGAAGCTGATGTCTTGGTAACTTACAAAGTCGGCAGGAAATCTTTGTTTAGTGTGTGTAATAATGTCAGCAACTCTGGCTGAGGCATAGTAGCCCATTCACTTGTGACGACTATGCAATAATGTGGCTTGAGCTTACTAATGAATCCAAGGATGTGTTTTGTGAGAGTGTCCAACTCTTTGTTTGTGGATATAAGTGATGGGTTGTTGATGTGCGGTAGCGTGGACGTTGATGCGTTGAAAGATCGCTAATTACTTCCGCTTTGGAAAAGCTGAAAGACCACTGCAGAAAAAAGATGGTGGTAATGTTATGTTCTGTGCTTCCACGATGTGACCTTTTTGTCTTTATGTTTGATGTCATACGTGGATCCACCTTCGAAGAATATTATACATCAGTGGTTCAGGTTCATTTTGTAGCTTTTTGGGGAGCTCAACATTTTTATTATTACTAGTTCAATTTGTCTCAAATTCTCTCTTAATTATGCAACCTTTTTGCTGCAGGAAAGTAATGGAATAGTTGAGGAAGCTACGGAGGAAGAACTGATGGATGCTGCAGCTCAGGCTGACCTGACAGGGATGTTCAACTGCCCTCACACAGGGGTAAGTGTGCACTACTATGAAACATTTTTGACCGGACAGGGATGTTCGACTGCCCTCTCACAGGGGTAAGGGTGCACTGCTAAGAAATATTTACAAAGCTTTTTCAGTATTTTATCCACTTATTTACTGTTTCATATTTAGCTATGACAGGCAGTCGCTCAGCCATGCGTGGCCGGCCAGGCATGCATGTGCAATAACCCGCTCAAATATGCCTATGGCATCGGCCAAGGGGGCCACCCACAGGCCACAAATTGGCCCCAAGGCCCTGCGTTCGATCGTGGGAAACAGAGCCCCTGAAATGAGGCTTCAGAGGCCCTGCGCCCGACAGGTGAGCGAAGTCAACTGTAACTTGGGATGTTGAGGCTCACGAGTCAAAATTTTCACAGACCCAGTCCAGGCCACCAATCAGACACACACGCTTGGTTGTACGCAGGTATCCAGGCAGCATTTGGTCCAAGTGGAAGTCTGTAACTGACGAGATCCAGGCCGTCGGCTGGGAGTCAATCTGAGCCTATGCACATGAGAGACCAGAGGCTGGTGTTGCATACTCGTGAAACACAGTCATAAGTATGGCGCAGATTCCCAGAACTGACCAGATAATACAGAGTAAATACAAATACAGAGGAAGACGTGAGATACATGTACTGACTCTGACCTGACTCGGACTGCAAACGAACACTCTCAATCATACATCTGGGGTGTGAAAGCCCTGGCCTTGGACATAGACGAAAGGCCAGGGTCTGAGATCATCCACAGATGAAGGGAGAGAGGAGAGAGACGAAGGGAGGAGGAGAGGGAAGATGACGTCAACTCAATGTTTCCAAAGAGAATATGTTGAAATGTCAGAGGTAACTAAAATCCGAAATGTCGTGAACACAGTGTCTCACATATCTCAGATATCGATCTCACAATGTCAAGTACATCTCCGGAGGAAGATGAAATCAGATCCCACTAGTAGTCCTCAACCTGTAGTCCCAATGTCGCTGTCTCCAATGTCATCAGAATTCGTAACCATCCTTCATACTTGTAGTAGTCCCGTAGGAGAACCCAGGAGTAGACTTAGACTGAGAAGGTAGGAGGAGAGAGAGAGGGAGAGAGAGAGGGAGGGAGAGAAGGGGCGGAGGAACAGAGGGAGAGAAGGTAAGGCCTTCCTCCCCGGTACCTGATCTGGTAGCTATGGCGTGGTAGGGCCGCTGCGCTCGTCTTCTCCTCGCTGATCAGGCTAACGCTGCTCGCGCTGCGCTAATCCTGCTAACGCTGCAGTGTTGCGCTAATCCTGAAGACTAACGTCCTATCTCACTAACGTTCCTACTGAGGCTGGTACCCAGCCTTTTGTAGTGCTGGGCCGGCCTCCTACCTGCTGGTACCTACCGGTCTGGACCTTTGATCTGATCAACGGTCCAGATTCAAAACTGGACTTGGTGCCTAAACGCGGCCGCCTCTGGAACTGCGCCGCCGGTAGGTCCTATGCTGGACCGGTACCGGCCTTGTGGCCGTTGGCCTGGGCCTCTACCCCTGGCCTGCCTGAACCGCCGTGCCCCTGGCCTACCTGGGCCTCATCTGAACCGTCGTCCCCTTGGGTCTACCCTGTCTACCTGGAACCGGGCCCGTGTGGCTCAGAATGCCGCTCAGAATGCCACACACCACCCCCCTTGAAGACCGAGCTAACTGCGAGGGCGAAGCTGTCTGTCCGATGTCGGTACGGGGCGGGCAGGTTGGGCAGCTTCCTTAGCAAGTCGCTGTTTTTTGTAATGCGTGAAGATGAGGGGTGCTGTCGCCTTCAGCTCGTGAAATCCAGCGTGTGTCGTCAGGATCGCATTGCTCAAATGTAACTTTGTACTGCATTGGCTTGTTGCCATGCTTGCGATGAGTGAGCACGCGGTCGACCTCCTGGTGACCATCCATTGAAGGAGGGTCATGTGACCGTCTGCTCGGGAAGTCCTCTGCGGAGGCTGGAGTGTTGACCGCCAACTTTGAAGCGTGAAATATCGGGTGGACTGTCAAATGCGGGGGAATCTCGATGATGAAAGATGGACCCGCGGGGTCGTCACCAACTGCTGAAGTGACCTTCCATGGCCCAAACCACTGAGGGAGGAGTTTGCGCGAGACGTGCTGCTCGAGCGCGAATTCCTCGGAGGTGACCCAAACCAGGTCGCCAGCGCGGATTGGACATGGGATGCAACGCCGGTTCGCTTGCTGCTGCATACGGACATGAGCCTTTTGCATGTTTGCGCAGGCTTTGGCCAGCAGTTCCCTGTACTTCCGTGTAGAAGCGGGGGAGCAAGCGGCGTCGATATCGGCAGCCCGTGGAAGCAGAATGTCTGCGAAGATACGTCCTTTCCGTCCACCGTGATGCAACTCGAATGGAGTCACGCCAATCGTCGGGTGCACCGAAGTGTTGTAGGCGAACTCGATGTCGGGAAGGCGGTCAACCCAGTCCTTCTGATCCGGGCGGATGAGTGTGCGGAGCATCATTTGCGCAGTCTGGTGCGCACGTCCCATTTGCCCATCCGTTTGAGGATGTCGTGTGGAACTCAGTTTCATGTTGGTGCCGGATTCCACATTGAGTGTTGTCCAAAAGGCTGACATGAAACGAGTGTCGCGGTCGCTGACGATGTCTTCCGGAACGTCGTGGCTGCAAAACCAGCCAGTATGCAAAAGTCGTGCGAGCTTGGGAGTCGTCGCGTTGTCGAGCGCATCGGTCCGGCACTGCACAAGGGCAGCAGAGTGCGCCAGCCATACCTCTCGCAAGCCCTTACGACAGGATAGGGCCGACGCGAGGCACGACTTACCTCCACCTTACGGGAGCTGTCACCTCCTTTCGGTGGGCGTATCCCCGTCGAGCTACCAGTCCACAGTACGAAAGCTAATCAGCTGCAATCGCAGAGGTGGACCAGCCGAGGGTGTTTCTCGTTTGCTGTAGCATAGGGGGTACGCGCAGTATTACGCCTCTATCGAAACCGCACGCGAACCAACATCTTGGGGGGGCTCAGGTCCCAAGCGCAACTCGTTGCCGGTCGACTAAGACGCATCCCACACACCACGCATACACCACTCTAAAGAACACAAAAATAAACACACACATAAGCACATATATCGAACGACACAGAACAAACAAACGTGGCAACACTCCTAGCCCCTTAGTAGCCATTCCACAACTTTCCGATGCGGAAATCACATAGGCGTCGCGCGCGAGACTTCATATAAAACCGCGCGGACGCAGGGCTAACTCATATCGATTCGCAATGCAAGTGTACGCAAGCGATCGCAACGATGGCGTACTATGTAGTCCTATGTAGTACCCATACTCACGCGATCCTCGTTAATCCCGAGGGTCGTGTTCGACACTCAAGTGTCGGCTGGCACGCGCCTTGAGTGGCTGATCTCTCAACGTTGGACAACCGCCAAGTGCGGTTGAGAACCACACCCTCTTCTGCACCCTGCGGAGAGTGGGTGGTACACAGGTTCATACCTGTGGTGGCAATCGTCTCTTATTGCCCTGGAGACCAGCTCCATCATCTAGGGCTTGGGGAGAAGTCAAGGGGTTTGACTTTGACAGTTGCCACGGACTACAACGTCCAACTATGAAATTATAAAAAGCAAATGCTAAAAAAGGAAAGTCTCATTTTCCTTCGAAAAGCATAATCTGTTTAACCCTTATGCGCGGTCACAGCAGGCCGCGCGAAACATTCAAGACATATGTATTTACATATATATAAAAAGGTTATAAATATGTGACGATCATTTCTCACAATCACTATGGGGCTCCTTTCAGCCATATGTATATGTATGTGAGCGCAGACAGTCAAATCCAAAGTCCGAATCACCAAACATCCATGCAATCACATCAAAGATTCAACCAAAAAGTCCATGCACTACACGGGGTCAACTTCAACCATTCTCTGCACTCACACCCCTTGCTTTTAGCCATACAAGCCTCACTCTTTGTGCAACTCTAAAAATAAATTACTTAGTACTTTTCTTTAAATGGCCATTCAAAATAAAGTCCGGGCAAAAACACAATAAAACAGTTTAAATCACAAGGCTAAAGCCTTTAGGTTGAGTGGCAGTAGTGAATTGGAGTTCAATCGTAAACTGACGAATTGGCAACCGACCTGTTATCAATGATAACAGAAGATGATCCTTGTAGGATCAAACTGAATCTAGCCCAAATCCTGAATTAATCGATCAAGAAGACTTGTAATACAAAACAGGCCAATCCCCAAGCTAAATGTACAAGTCCATGGAGAATAATCCCCATATCACGATCTCACTCAAATCATCATAATTAACTAATCCATGGAGAATAATCCCCATATCACGATCTCACTCAAATCATCATAATTAACTAAGTCTAAGTCCACCTCTAAGCAAGTGTCAAAAGAAAGGTAGACCCTGACAGAATCTCCTCTATACAGAGTGAATTTTCCAGGATTGCCACCTGTTAAAAATATTATCCAACTCCTTTAAACTAAGAAAATTTCGGCAGCTCTTCCCGTAGGAAAAGTGCCTTCTCATAATTTATAATAACTCAAATATGAAAACAAAAACGATCTCTAACTCCGGAGAGTCAAAATTTGTCTAACTTCCTGAATTAGTAAAATTTTGGGCAGCATTTCCTTTAGAAAGGTAAACTTCCTAGATTTTTGCTAAGTCAGATATGAACTCAGAGCAAAACCTGAGTTCAACTAAGACAAAATTTAACTAACTCCTCAGATTTGTAAAAATTTCGGCAGCACTCCCTTTGAAAAGGTGTTAATCCAAGATTTATACAAAGCTAAGTTCAGAATCTAAAGTGACTTCGACTTTTCAAAGTCTAATTTTGTCTAACTCCTTGAATTAGCAAAAAATTGGGCAGCACTCCCTTTAGAAAAGGCGGTGTTCCAGATTTTTACTGAGCCAAGAAGTCAGAAAAGTTAGGCCCTGAAAATAACAACGTCTAACGAACTCCTTGGTTTTGTAGAAATTTCGGCAGCGCTTCCCGTAGAGAAAGTGGCTTA